GATCAATACCTGAAACACCGCGAGGTATCGTCCCGCTATTTCCGGTGTCCCAGCGCGGCCGGAAATGAAGGCGTTAAAAATATACTCCAGATAGCGCGCGCCGGTATTATATCCTCTTCGGTACAGGTGCCCTCAATAGTGAGACGAAGAGGACGCCGCGCCGGCGAGAGACGTCTCGCGCGATGGAGGCGCGTAAGCTTCGGCGAGTTGCGGCTCGTGATGAGCTCTCCGATTAGGTCGGCCGGGGAAGGTTGGAGCGGATAAAACGCTCGACGGTTTTAACTCACCTTATCGGGCGAGACGATCATCGGTCGGGAGAAAGTTCACACGGTCCGACTGCCTTTCCTCGTCTAGCTAGCGAAAGCATCTCACGGCGAAAGAAGACAGACTCGGACCCTCCCGCGATGACCTTTCGCAGCGCTGCGAGAGATCGATGACCATCATCGATCCCCGTCGTGCTTCGTCTTCCGTTGCACGCGGGAGAAAAGTCTCGACTGGGGCGAACGTAAAAGCCAGAAATTCTGCTTCCTTCGGCAGTGAAGCCGAAGGCCTTCACCGCCGCGTTCGTTCACCCGGCGAATTTCAACTTTGTCCACGAGTACCGCGCATCGGCCAATCCCTCAGCACTTCCCGTCCTAACATCCGGGTCTTCGAGCTGCGATTCGCAACATCGCGGATCCTCATCAGGGCGAAAGCGTGCTGCAGTCGCTTGATCGTCTCGATCATGAGGTGGTCGAGATGATCGTTATTGGCGCGAACTGTACGCTCCCGGAGGGGGCGAGGTCTCTTTATCTCCGCGAGGGCCCGACCTGATCGACTTTTAATTATAGCTATCTGCTACCTGCTTCGCTGGCGCTCGCCGCGCCGAGATGATCGATCCCGAAGCCATTCTCGCGGCTGGAATCTTCATTTCGCGGCGGTTACTGCATACAGCGCGAATTCGATACTGCGTGAATATTCACGGCCGCTATCGCGAACCCAATTGCGTAGATTAAAGTATACGGCTTGCAGCTTCCAGGGAAAGCTCGGTGGCCCGTTAAGAAAATTACGTGCTTACCGTAGAGGAATCGGGATGTATGTGTGTGTGTGTGTGATAAATCGGCTCTTCATTTCTGTATTTCGTCCGCCGTCAACCCTGAAGCGCAAGCTTTTACATCTCTTCGATTTTAACCTTAATCCTCTTTCCGCCCTCAGATAAGACGCAAAAATTTGAACAAATCTTACAACAATTACGACCTCCTCGTCGCGCGAGAAAAAATATCGAAAATTAACACGAGCCGCTCGATTACGTAATTACGTCAAATTATCGTCCAGCTTCATCTCATCGAATCGCAAGCAAGATGAAGAGATCACTTCTCGTCAACTCGTCCTCGGGGGGTGGGGGGGGGGCGGTGCCACTACTTTGAATCCTGACGCTCAATTCAGCGTGAGTGAGATGAGCTGCACGGGTCGTCCCGAAGACCCCCGTGACGTTTTTCTCGCAACAGCCCACGAGGTGGAGGCATTTCGCCTCGTGGAAAACTGCGGATATCTGTTGAGCCTGTGGAGGGCGTGACCAACGGCTGAACGTGAAACTCCGGATTTGCGAAATCGTGGCGAAGGGGTTGGTTTAGTATATATCAACAGGTAGAACACGTTCTCTTCCCCACCGGATAAACCCAGGGCTAAGCGCCGGCGCTGGCTAAACCTCTTACACCCTCCCGAGGGTGTGACCTACCCTCTCCATTGGCCCGGCCGGACGTGTGAAAAAGAGAGCGAGTCAGTCCTGCGCGGAGATAAGGTCTTTTTAAAACGCTCTCTCCGAGGGTGGAGCTTCTCGTCTCGCGCGAGCCGTAATTCGCACGAGAACTGCCTTTCCTCTGCTTAGTTAATTACTCAAACGACGCCAATTTGTCCTCAAGCGGCATAGGTGCTCGCATCAAGACAAGTTCTCTCTCTCTCTCTCTCTCTCTCTCTCTGTCTGTCTCTCTCGCACGCGCTCTTTCTTCTCTTGTGTTTTTCAGCACTGAGGAGATATCGGCATCATTAATCTTCCTCGCTCGACGATTTGTCCGACTTGACTTATTGTTGAAGCGAAGATCTTATTTATTAATCTCTCTCGCTCTCCGCGCTCTCTTCCGTCTAGTATCGTTGCTACTTTCCGTCGCGATTTTTCACACATCAGCCGACCGACTAAATGGCGCAAGTCGTGCGAAAACACGATATAAAGCTTTATGAAACTTCCAGTTCGCGAGGCTGCCGACGCAAACGGGCAAACGCTGTCGCGCGCGCGCGCTAATCGATCCGCGTACATACGCAGAAATACAATATATTATATACATGCGACAAGCTTTCTCGCATCTAACCTAATCCTCTGTGTCGGATGTCCGGTGAAAAGAAGTCGCGCAGGTACGGTCTCGGCCCGGATTGGGAGGAGGAACGATGAAAAAAGATCGTAATGCGGCGGCGAAGCGGCGAAGAGAAGAGGAAAATATCCGCATGGGTCAGCCGAGAGAGGCTTAGACCGCGGAGAGATGCCCGCTCCAATATCGGCTTTCGGGATACTCGAGATATTTATCTAATGTCTTACATTTTCCGCAGGGTTGCCCATTCAAATTTCCATTCATGTCTCCTCTGCGGGAAACCCGTTTCCCCGGATTGCGCCGCTCGAAAAACGACCCCGAGCGCTTCGATCCGCGCCCAAGCTCGCTGAAATATCCGCGCCTCGATCATCCAGCCGCGCTGATGAGAAACTTAACAAGAGAATTAACGGCTCCGATGCGCGCGCGCGCGTGTGTGTGTGTGATTCCGTAGATGACGTAAAAATAGAGGTGCGAAGAATTCAACAATTTAGCTCCTTGAAGCTCAGCCGGCTTATCGTCGGAATCATTGAAGCAATCTGAGAAATATGTTGTTACGCGGAAATAACAACCCTGTTAGTGTAAGTGAATTTACACTAGTTTAGTTGCCCGGAGGCCCGACGAAGACTCGGTTGCAGGGGCAGATAGCTTCCTCCTGTGGAACGTCTCTACTTAGTCAATTGCTCCCAATTATCCCGGCGACGAAAATTCAGCGACATTCCTCATCACCGAGTCTTCGTTCGCTCTTCGTTCGACTGCACCAACACAGACTCTCTTCCCCGTGTATCATTCTGAAAAAATATCGATATATCAGGTGTGTGAATTAATTCGGTCCATCTGGCGGTCAATTGCTGTACTATGTAATTTTCTAACCTCTAACGTCTGCAAAAGGCTTTATTTTCTTGTTTTGATATCCGGCAATAATATTCAGTTGATAAACGTTTGGGTTTGTAACAATAACATCGTGTTTATCTGATTCGAAAACGTCGAAATTCGAGCCGAAAAAGCATCATTTCCGGCAAGTTCTCACTTCCTGTTTTCACTTGAAGAAAACAGCTGCCGAAGCTCATCGAATGCTCGTAGAAGCTTATGGTGAAAGTGCTCCCACCGATAAATCATGCAGAGAATGGTTTCGACGTTTCAAAAGTGATGATTTCAGTGTCGATGACAAACCTCGTCCAGGTCAGTCGAAGAAGTTCGAGGACGAGGAGGAATTGCAGGCGCTAATCGATGAAGATCGCAACATGAGCTCGCGCAGTTGTTGAATGTTGATCGATCAACAATTTCTGTGGGTTTGGCAGCCATGGGAAGGATTTACAAAGAAGGAAGATGGGTGCCATATGGGGACTGAAAGAAAGAGACATAGAGAGACGAAAAGCCATGTCTGAAATCTTGCTTGCCAGGCAAAAAAGAAAAGTATCTTTTGCATCGTATTGTGACTGAAGACGAAGAGTGGATACATTTCGATAATCTCAAACGAAGGAAATCCATTAGCGATCCAGGAAGACCACCCACATCGATACCAAAGCGGAATATTCACGGCAAGAGAGTAATGCTCTGTATATGGTGGGACCAGAAGGGTGTAGTGTATCATGAACTATTAAAACAGAGCCAAACCATCACTACCGAACTTTACCAACAACAATTGATCCGTTTAAACAACCCATTGAAGAATAAGCGGGGCCGGAATATGCAAAGAGACGTGACAAAGTGATCTTCCAGCACGATAATGCTCGGCCACACGTTGAAAAGATTGTGAAGACCACCTTGGTAGCACTTGGCCGGGATGTTTTACCTCACCCGCCGTATTCACCATTCGACATTCATCCATCCGATTGTCACTTGTTCAGATCGATGGCACACGGGCTTTCGGACCAGCATTTCAACAATTATGAAGAAATAGAGAAATGGCTCAGTGAATGGATCGCTTCGAAGGACGAGTTGTTTTTCCATTCACGGAATGTAACAACCGCCAGACAGATGGGAAAAAATAATAGCAAGCGATGGCAAATACTTTGATCAGTGTAGTTTTTCATGTTTCTTCATACTAAAGTCTTTTTTAGGAAGAAAAAAACGGACCGAATTAATTCACACACGTAATAAGATATTTGGTGCGCATACCTCACACACACACACACACACACGTCAAGTGGGTGATGCGTTGCAAACACACAGCGACACGGACACTCACGTGTGTGTGTGCTCGATTTTTAACCGTGCAGCGATTTTTGCCCCTTCCACAGTCATTTCTCCCGCTGCGACATGATTCGATAGAATTCGACAGAGTCGCGGCGCGCACCGCGCTTCGATCGACTCGAAAGCGCCGTTAAGAAACTAATTGCCTCTCCGACAAGTTCGAGCGTGGACGATCGTGGACGCGCGCACATTAATTAAAGTGAGCGTCGATTAAGACGAGCCATTTAGAATTGCTTACGAGCCGATGTCGCCTGCCTGGGTGCTGCGCATCCACACGGAGTTTGCAACGCCGCGCGCTGCGAAACAAGATCGCTAGGTGCGCTTCTATCTTTCCCGGATTTTTCATCCGGCCGCGCGCGCGCTGAATAACGACACCTCGGCGGTTGAGTTATCTTACAGAGATATCGCTCCGGCGTGCCCTGCGTTACTTATCACAGATAACCGCTCAGTACTTTGAGAGCCGCTCGTGGCAACGGTCATTCGCTCAGTCATCGATCGGCACGGAGCGATTTTCGCTGATTCGCGTGTCGCCTCGCTTGTGTCCGGACTTGCCGCAATATCCGACGACGATGACACCGCGCGATCGGAAGTTCGCGACCATGCGATCCTGATAACGGCGAGCCCGAAGTGAATAATGAGCGTGAGAATGTGGGCCGCGTGCGCTCGCTCCGCCTGACTCGGCCGCGCCGACATAAGAGGAAGAATCATGGAGAGACGATCGATGATACGTCGATACCGCTGCGTTTGCTCGCTGATCGCGTGGGCGGCAATTTTGTCGCTCGCGAGTTGCCAGAGCGTCTGTCCCGCCAGGTGTTTGTGCCATCTCAGTCAAACGCCCAGGAGCGTGATGTGCTCGAAGCAGGGACTGCAGACGTTCCCTGAAAATATCAGCCGCATCGTGAGTATGCTCGCAAATTGGTCCTACCTTTTTCCTTCCTGCTTCGTTACGGTCACGCTGCTTGTCGCGCTGCTTGTCAGATGCAGCCTCGGTCCTCAGTTGCACCGCTGCGTTCTGCTGGCTGCTTCAGCAGAACATGCTGCATCAGAGGTGAGAGAAGCTTGAGAAAGATGGGCCCAGTCGGGCTGATGAGTCACCACATCGACTGACTGAAGTGTGCAAATATTTACGTGCAATGCTGAGATTTGGTGATTAAACTTTCTACGACCTTTCATACCTTTTTTGGTTTTACCACGACTCCAGCCGGGCTCCAGCGGAGTTAATTAGACTCTATCAGTAGCCTGTGCGCAGAAAATGTGCCCATATTGAGATTAATCCTTTTGCGACAGGTCGAGCACTTGGACCTGTCGAGCAACTTCTTAACTGAGGTCAGCGAGGATGTGAACCGGTTGACCGAGCTGATGTACTTGAACCTGGCCAAAAATCAGCTGACTTCGCTGCCGGGTAATCTTGAGAGGCTGGAGAAGCTTCAGAGACTAGACCTCTCGGAGAACCACATCGAATCCGTGGCAGCTATTGCTTCCGTCAGCCAGCTACCGTCCTTGGTGTTTCTGTACGTTTCAAGGAATCCACTGCCCGCCTTGGAGGGATTAACCAGCGATGTGCTTCGAGTGATGGACGCAAGTCGCTGCCGTATGTGTATCTAAATAATCATACATGTAAAGTATTCATCGCTGCATGAGCGCTACTCATCTCAACTCATCTCAACGACGATCTCTAGAATTGTCGTATGTACATGAACAAGTTTATTCATCAGCCGAGTAAATTGACTTTACGCTGAGACATGTACCAGATGAAACTAACAGCTAACTTTGTGAACCGCAGTTGTTAAAGAGCTAAGTAACGCGTCCTTGAGCGGACTGTCAGCGCTGAACAATCTGAACCTAGCGGGAAATCCCTTGGTGAGCATCAGGAAACCCATCAGCGCGACTTTGAGGTCGCTGGATATGTCCGACTGCAACCTGAATATCTTAGATCCAGACACCTTCCTCGGGCTCTCGGTGCTGGAGGAGCTACGATTGGTCAATAATCCCGCGTTGGTCTATTGTACTCGGTAAAAAGGCCATAAATAATCCACTCCAACCGTGTGTGCTCGTGTGTATTAGAAGCAGCTATTGAAGAAGTTGCACGGTACTCTGCAATGATCCGTCCGAGCACACAGCGTCGTGATCTTATGAGTTGAAGGAAATTTGGCAGATCTCTTCGTTGCAGGTACACGACCATGCAGCACCCGAGGCTGAAGAGGCTCGACGTATCGAGATGTAGACTCGACCGGCCCGGTCTTCATGGTCTCCCGTCGTTGACGTACGTCCGTCTGTCTCACAACGCAATCAGCATGCTGCCGGCTCGCATTTTCGCCAAGAACAAGCAGCTGGTGCAGTTGTACATGGACGTGAACCACTTGCAGAATATAAATATCAGCACCTTTGAAGGCTTGACGAAGCTTCAGATGTTGGATCTGTCCATGAACGGCATCAATTTCGTGCACGAGTTGGCGTTGCGCGAGAACATAAACCTCAAAATCCTGAATCTTTCCTACAACGAGCTGCAGACATTGCCGAGGCTGACGACGACCACCATGTCGTTGGACGTGTCTTTCAATAAGATTAGCAAGCTCAGGGCGAACTCCCTGGAGGACATGTCGAGGATCAGGAACTTGATTCTGAAGAATAACGAGCTGCAAGTGCTACCGCGCCACCTGAAAGCGGAGACGCTGAGGATACTGGACTTGCAAAGGAATAGGCTCGTCGGGCTGCACAATACAAGTTTCGTCGACTTACCGTCGTTGCGACAGATTGACTTGTCAGGTAGAAACCTTCGGACATGCGTCCACGCGAGGCCCGAAAGAGCACGAAAGAGACATCCAATTTCGGAAGACCACTTTTCGTACAACCACACGTCTTAAAAATGTCTTAGGGTGTGGGACATCTTCGAAGCAAAATCGGGAAGTAAAAATGATAATCAAAAGTCGAGAAGTAAGTAACGACCCTGACCATCGTCGCGATCGAAAGAGATTTCTTTCTGCTTCACTTTAGGCTCTCGCTTCGTTACTTCCGTCGACAATTCCTCGACTCGCACATTACGTCCCTCTCTCTCTCTCTCTCTCTCTCTCTCTCTCTCTCTCTCTCTCTCTCTCTCTCACACACACACACGCAATCGTTTGATCCGCAGGGAACCGTTTGACGGAGGCGATAAACCCCGACATATTCGACAGCAATCCGGTGTTGTTGGCGGTAAATCTGGAGGATAACCCCTGGCGTTGCGAGTGCACGCAGCTCTACATCACCTATCAGTTCTTAACGGATCCGTCGGCGAAGACCGCAGTGTCCACTCTACTTTGCCAGAGCCCGGCAAACGTGTCCGGCTACTCGTGGGAAGCCGCGTGTTTCGACGTATGGAACTATTATCTGCATCCCAGTCAGCATAAGGCCACCTGGGGAGTGGTAGTGGTCGGCATACTCATCGCCTTCGTCTTGTTCGGCAGCGTGGTGTCTATCCGACACACCATACAGATGAAACGGAGAACCCGCGAGCAGATGCGGCAGCTGGAAAGAATGGAGGCCATCGAGAGATCGCGATTTATGCAGGCGAGGTAAGAACTTTCGGCGGATCACGGCGACTCGCTGATTCTACCGCGAGAATCGCGCCAAGGCGGGGGGGAGGGCGGGGGGAGGGGGATGGGGAGGACAGCTCGCTCCGCAGCGTTCGACGCGAGATCGATACTCACCGGACGATGCCTCGACGACGACCTCGCGTCGCGGCATGCGTGCCACGAAATTCACGTTTCCGCAACAGCCTACCTGTCGCAACGCACACCTGTCGCACGGCCTGTGCTGCATTTTCCGAGAAATGCAGTTGCATGATCGCGACATTGCGCGAGCAGATTCCGCGACGGAGAGAACTGCGCCGAGGTAAGGCCATGTCGAGAGAAGTGCCTATCTGCAACGGATAAAACAGGTATCCATCCTACCTGTTAGAACCGCAACCGACCTTACGGCACAGATTTATATTACAATTTCGTAAGCTGGTACATGCAAACCTCGCCGGAGGAAGCTTTACCGACGCGGCCGCATCCTTGCGACCTGCGCGGTAGGCCGGCGCCGCGAGGAAACTTAAGCCGGAGCGCAGGAGCGCCGCGTCTGCGCTCGCCGATCAACCAAGCGAGTTCTCGAGTTTGAGTTCGCGTTAGTCGCAAGATCACGACGCGAAAGAGTGAAGTGATGCGTCAAATGTGAATATATATTTTCAGAAACCAGCGCGCCAACGAAGACGAGCAGCAGGAGCGCTCGGAGCGCTCGGAGCGCTCGGAGCGTCCGGCCGAGCCGAGGATTCATCCTCTGGAATTGATCGGCCCGCCCACCTACGAAGAGGCGGTCCAGATGCCCAGGCTGGTGCGTTCGATGGACGCGCTGAACGAGATCGTCGTGGAGAACGGCAACGTGAACGTGATCATGGGCTCGGTGGACAATCTACGAATGAAGAAGAGGAGAACTCGCCGAGCGAGGAAGCGGACCCAGAGCGAGGACGACCTGCTGAGGAGAGAGGAGCGTCGGCATGTGCGGCTCCGCAGGGAGAGGAACTCCATCGGCAACATCCTCGACGCGGATCAGCTGCAGAGCAACGCGCAGCCGAGGAACCACCCGAGGACCACCCCGGCGCGCAGGTCCAGGAGGCACAGCGTCGCGCTGGACGAGTCCGTCGAGTCCAGCAGCGGCAGGGACAGGCCGAGGCCGCAGACGCCGAGCGCGAAGAAGAGGAAGAGGAAACAGCTGGTCCGTGACGAGCACGTGACCGACGACGAGGACTCCGACAGATCCGGCGTCATCAAGGAGCTCAAGCGAGAGCCCAGAAGCGGCTACAGGGAGTCGACCGGGAGACGCGAGTCCTGAGGTCGCCTCAACCGAGCCGCGAACGCGCCTTTCATGTATATTCTAAGCGGCACATATAAGTAGCTATGATATTTTTAATAAAATCGTACGGGAAGAGGAGGGACTTGCGGATTTTCTTCAGCGTTTCCATTGCACTCACCATGGACTTTGTCCACATGGACTTCGTCCACGCGTGTCTCGCGTCGCCAAACGACGCGTAGCTCTCTGATCGGGGTGCTGAGGCTGGGTTCTCATTGGCCGCCTGAACTACGGCAGGCAGGAATCCGTTGATCCTCCGTGAAGTTTTTCTTTTTTTCTTTCTTTGAAGAGGACCGATGAAATATGTGAAAATTCCACATTGAAGAATGTTTGCTTGACTGCTTTGATATATTTTGTGCCGTTTCGGAGAGCGTCCGGTAACCGGCAGCCTCGCATGGATTTCGCCGGATTTTAAGGTGCATGGAGGTCGGAAAATAAATAAACGAACAATACGTAACAAATAATAAGTAATTAGTGAATCTCTCTCCGCACGCGCGCTCTAATCAGCGACAAAAAGTGCGGGAAACCGACCGGCGTTGCCAGCTACTGGATGCTTTGTCCTGCGAGTTCCTTCACTTTCTTCTCGCGTCTTCTCTTTTCCTCCTGCGAACCACGTCGATCGCGCATCTGACGCTGAATCAACAGCGGCACGTCGCCGATAACGCACACGTGGCTGCGCGATAACGTCCTGGCGGCTCGCGCGCGCTCCTCTCGCGCAAACCGGTCTTTTTCTGTGTTATGTACCCATCTATTATCGCCCGGGAGAGGGTTAACGATCGAGCAAATGACAAATGAAACGCAGCCGCCGATAGCACAAGATTTGCTCTGGCTGAGCAAAGCGAAGGTAACAGCGGGCGCCTCTTCCTGGAAGCTCGCCGAGTCTCCACCCCGTCCGAGATCCTAACTGTAATAACGTCAAATTGCCGGTTCGAATGTAGCGAGGAGACGCGCCGGTCTGAAATTACGGTGATTTCTTGTCAACCTAAAGAGAATTAAAACGCAGACCTCGAGATTACAGTCGCGGGCTCACCGTCCATCACGTCGGTCTGTCATTTGCGGGAGAGAGAGAGAGAGAGAGAGAGAGAGAGAAAGAGAGAGAGGCGGCATATGTAACACGCACAGATTATAAATAATTAAGTTATTGAATATTGAGCAACATCCAGAGATAACGTAGAACACTCATTACCAATTCATTACAGTATACACAATTAGATAACGTTAATAGCAATTACGTTCGCCCTCCTCCTCGTTGGCCGGCTCGACGACGAGAGAGGAAAGCACGTGGAAAGTTGCTGCGATTCTGCTTCAAGCTGCCTGCATGCTCCTGAAATTGGCGCGCAGCTGATGGGACATTGGCACGAAGCGTATACGTATTTGTTCGTTAATTGCTCCGCGTTAATTGATCTCTTTCGCGAAAATCGGCGATCTCGCGTATCTCGCCGCGGTTATCTCGCTTTCTTCAGGCGCGGCGTCATCCGCGGAATATAATTACGCGGCCGCTGCGAACAATGTGACGCCGACGTGTATCCAACGATACGGACGAGGGGTCGAAGATCACGCGTGACCGTGATCAACATAAGCGACGATATCAACAAAAAAATAACACTCTCTTTTATTGATCAAAGACTGGACATATAAATAAAGTCTTTCAATCTTCACCGAGCCGCTTACCTCGCCGCGCTCCTGCCTCCCTCCGTGAAACTTAGCGTTGGGAACGGCTCGATCTCTAGCGGGGAACACCGGGCTACCTTAAAATTAAAATCATACACGCCGTGTACAGCATCTCCGACACATTTGGCTTAAAGAATCGTACGTAAAGTGATAAATCGATCGCGACCGGTGACCGATAAAATGCGTCGTCGCGCTCCCCCCGGCCCCGTCCCGACCACTCGAATCATCAGACCGACGTCTGTCCACGAAGTGTCCATCGTACCGCACATACATGCGTAGCATCTCGTTCTCGTACTCTCGAAATTTCTCGGAGTGAAACCCCACTCGGAAAGTAGAGCGACCGGCGGCGGCGGCGGCGGCGGCGGCGGCTCGCTCGAATTCGAGCGATTTTTCACTCGGGCTCGCGCGGATTCTCCGCCCCGCCGCGCCGTCGGCCGAAGAATACTTTCACTTCGAAATTCGGGAGCGAATCTCGCGTACTCTCGCGACACGGCGATGCGGAAGCATCTCGTCCGTGACTTTTACTTATCCGGCTCTCGGGAGAAAGACGGACGCGAGTTCTAAACTCGCGCGACGAAATTACAGCCCACCTGTTTACGGCCGCCTGGACGGCCCCAGGACGTTGACTCTCAGGGCGTTTGAAGGTCCTCAAGAGAAGGTGAGACCTTCTCTTGAGAGACAGTTCAGCGACATTCACTCAGCGAGATTCGCGATTTCGAGAGAGCGGCGGTGAATTTCCACCGTGTCGCGCATCGAGCGAGAAAATGCCGTTCCATTGTTTCCGCTGCTTCTCGACAAGACCTAGACCGCGGGAAATTTGGAGAGCAGATCTCCGACACTAATCTACGTTGCGTGCGCGACGAATAAACATGTCGGTCCGTAATAAATTCGAAAGCCGCTCTCCTCCCCGCGCGGCTCGCGCTCGCGCAGGAACGCGCGCCTCGGGACAGGGGGGATCGCGTGTATCCGCTACGAAATAACACAATAACAGATTATTACATACTTTGCGCGTTCCTTCTGCGACGTGAATAACGGGGAGCCCCGTGGAACGTCCGACCGCGCGGTGTCAAGTCGTCCACCGAGCACTCCCGTACTTCGTAACTCTACACCGCAGGCCAAAGGCCATTATTCATAATTGGTAGGCTCGTCGTCTCGTTTGAATTGCAAATCTCCTCGCGTCTAATCGCGCGTACTTAAAATGCGGCGTTAAAACTACGAGAGAGGTACGCGCTGTCGCGCTGGCAAACAATCCGCGCACGCGGATCTCCGATCGGAGAAGAAGACGACGGCACCGGCCTCGTCCTTGGCAGGCCGCCCTCGGCGCGGAGCGCCGCCGACGCTTCGTAGAAAAAATATGGCAGAATACGGAATGCTCCCTCGACTCACTGACACGCCTGGCGTCGGCTGGCTGCGAACGTCACCGTGATCCTCGCCTCGCGATCGCGATCCACCCGGTCGCGAAATCTCCCGGAGCGGAATTTCACTCGGCGGCGGCGGCGGCCTCTCCGAATCCGAGGGATTCCTCTCAGCCGCCGCGCGGAGCGACTTCTCCGCTCGAAATTCGAGAGTGAGTCCGACGCGCTCCGCGACACAGAAACTCACGCGTTCGCGTTAATCGACTGAAACGCACTCGCTCATACGGGCTCAGACTCTCTCGGAGCGTGAAACGTCCGCTCTCCTGCAGCACTTCGCTACTGCCGCGATCTCCAGCGTCGCTTTTCACTCGTTCCGGCTGAGACTCCGCTCCTTGCGGGGGTCCCCCCCGGTCCCCCTCCCCTCCTCCCCGCCCCCGCGACCTCGCCGCGGCGGATAACGCGCGGGTTCTTCTCGCAGGACGCGCGAGATCCTTTAGGAAGGCTGACTAGTGCACCAGCGTGATCCTCGAATTGCGTCCCTCCACAAGGGACCCAAGAGTCCCTACGTCGCCGCGTGAATGCAGAGAGTGGCCCCAGGACGCGTCGCGTGTTTCACCGATCGAACGAAGAAGAGGGGTAATATAGAACGAGTCTCGAGCCTCGAGGAAATGTCGCGAGGTGTCGAGGAAGTGCCCACGAGAATGAGAATGAAGCGTTTGATCGAACACAACCTGGGAATTTGAATGCGATTTGTGTAGATGGTTCGTAGCGTCGAGTATTTGTCCAAGTGTTTGGATCACCGCGAGGTGATCGGCCGAGCGGCGACGACGCGACATTAGGGGCGGTCTGCAAGACGCAAGATTCTCTCATCAAGTATATATATATATATATATATATATACATATAGCACGTATTTCGTGCTATTGTCCGATTGTTCAACGAAGCTGCCTGAAGTTACATCCGTACAAGCCGCCTGTCGCACACCCTCAGCTTCCTGCCGAGCACACGGCAGTGTCCTTTTATCGCCGCTGTCGCGGGGGCCACCGATCATCCCGGTGATCTTTCTTATTACGAAAGTCCATCGCGCGAGGACGCTCTCCCTCTGCCCCGCTCCCCTCTCTCTTCCTCTGCATATCGAGCCTAGGAACAACGGCGTTATAAATCACGTCCGGGGTATGTGGTTCGTCGACCGAGAACCTCGCCCTCGCTTCTCGCACTACGTACGTCTCTCCTTGTCTCTCCTTTGTCGCTCGGCGTACGAACACGTCGGTCGATCGATGTGACATTCGTTATCTCGTGTAGACTCTGTTCCTCTCCTTCTCCCTCACCCTCTCTCTCTCTCTCTCCTCTCTCTCTCTCTCTCTCTCTCTCTCTCCCTCCCCCCTCCCATCTCTCTGTCTCCTCAGGACACTGCGTCTTCACGGCGTCTTGACTAGATTTTCACCGGCCATCGTTCGCGTGATGAGTATGGGCGTCTTTGGCACACTGTCGGGGATCTCCTGCAGGGTGATCCTCACTCTTTGGGCCCCAGGGCTCAGTGGGGGTCCGTTGGGCTGCGAGTCAAGCGTCGCCGGCCCGTTGTTCGTCGCCGTCGACGACGGGGAGGGCTGCACGGGGCTCGGCCGATCCGCCAGGAAGTTCTCCTTCAAGGAGTTCACGTCCACACGGGGTCTGTCCTCAACTGCCTGCTCTTCTTGGGGGGTGATCTGCTTCCTGGGTGGCTTCACGGGGTCCGGGTGGTCGACGGTGGTGCCGTTGAGAGATCGCGGTGTCTCCTGGGTCTTCTGGTCGTCGCTGCGAATCTTGTCGGGCCTCGCGTCCTCGTCGGGAGCGCCCTCCACGAGAGGAACGCTCTCAGCGTTCCCGTTCGAGGCGATCTTCGGCTGGACGGCGTTGCCGGTGTCCGGTAGGAGGGACTTTTGCATGTCCTTCAGCTCGGTGCCGTTCTCCACGTCGTCTCGCTTCCGTTTCTTTCGGCAGAAGTCGCCCTTGTACGCGGCGAAGCCGATCAGCGCCGCCAACACGGCGAGCAGCACCGCCAGGACGACGTACGAGCCCATTCCTTTCTTAGACTGCTTGGAGGTGGATACCTCAGCCAGCTCGTCGTTCAGGCTGTCCACCTCGGCCTTGACATTGCCGGATTTCGAGCCGTCGCCCGCGGACCTCATCACCTCCACGCCGTCGGCGATCGAGGCTGACGTGGCCTTTCTCGTCGCGTCGCCGGTGACCTTGTCGAGGTCGGCGCCGACTACGTGGCTCGTGATCGATACAACCGGTTCCTCGGTGGCGAGTTTCGTAGACACATCTAAGAACTGCTCTTCTTCGAGATTCGGTTCCTTGGTCTCCGGCGGTGCCGCAGTAGCGCCGAGGAAACCGGCGATACCGGTGACGACGTTCCAAAGAAACGAGCCCTCGTTACTGTCGCCTTCGGCAGGATTGGTCCTCTCCTCGTCGTAGCCGGCTCCGGATCCTTCGCCAGAGGCGTCGTAACCATCGCCGGACGCCGGGTAGAATAAAGAGTCCTTGATCACCTTCCGCGACATCTCGGTCGTGGCCGACTGTTCCTTCCTCTCTTCGCTGTCGAAGAAGATTTCATCGTCGTCGGCGGTAGGCAGCAGAGAGCTCGTCGTCGTGCCGGTGGCCTCCTCCGAGGCCTCGGTCGACTCTTTCGTGGCGAGCTCGAGGAGCACGGAGGACCTCGTGGTAAAGTCCGAGGACACCGCCGGGATGGGTGTCTCCGCCTCCGCCTCTTTCGGCTTCTCTGACGAACCGTTGTGGACCTCCACGTACTCGTCATCGTCGTTGTCCTCCTCCTCCTCCTCCTCCTCCTCCCCCTCTTCCGTTCCCATCTTTATTCCCCTCGTGCCCTCCGTCTCCTCCTCTTCGGCGAACTCGTCCCATGCGTCCGAAGCATCCCCGGATCCTGCGTCCATGCCGGAACCCTCCGGCTGATCGTTTTGCATCTCCCGGTCCTGCTTCTCCAGGCTGCAGATGATCGTGGCGCTCGGCTTCATCAGCGAGGTGCCCTTCATATTGCTAGGGCCCGCGCACACGACCTTCTTCGACATGGTCACGCCTCTGTGCGCGACGAGGTCGCGGACCTTGAGGGTGGCGCAGTTGCACTCGAGCGGGTTACCGTGAATGTCCAGGTGCCTGAGGTTCTTGAGGCGCATCAGCGCAGGTGGCAGCTGCCGGATGGCGTTCCTCCGCAGGTTCAGGCTCCGCAGCTCGGTCAGGCCCTCCAAGGACGCCAGTTCCAGGTACTCGATGCGATTGTCGCCGAGATTCAGGCTCCTCAGGCTGCTCAGGTTCTGGAAGCAGCCGCGTTCAATTTTACGTAGCTCGCCGCCGGACAAGTCCAGATGCCTGAGGTTGTCCAGCTTGCTGAAGAGGCCTGGCGTCAAGACATCCTGCGCGACCGGGGCCTTGAGGAACTCCAAGTCGTCCGTGTCGATGTACCTGACGTCTTTTAGCTGGTGGCACGACGCCACCGTGCTGTTCTCCAGCTTGCAGAGTCCGTGGCTCCATCCCGACTGCTGCAGGAGGATCAGGAGGAACGACAGCAAGGGCGGTGCCGCGCGCATCTTTCAATCTGATTTACCTGCAACAGCAAGAGATCTCGCATGTGGATACGATAACGCTGATAACGCACGCGTCGGCCGCGTTTGCCGCTCGATCCCCGCCTGCGAAAGCCGCGCGGTTTGCCGCGCGTCACGCGACGAAAATGTGCATTGAACCGAAGACGAGAGCGTTACGCAATCCCCCCGCGGCGCAGCTCTTCGAGCGCGACATGTGTTGTTGGCGGAGCCAACAACGTACGTAACAAAAGCAAAGGAAAAAGAAACGTTCGCGCGACACCGAAGCTGTCGAGGCGTGTTCGGACGTCAGCTGGCCAGGCCGAATTTCAACGTCAATGCCCAACTGTCCGACTAGTGTGAAAAATTAGCGCGGGTTTCACAAAAGGATATCCTTATAAATTCCAAATTCCTACTTTGCATTCCTAGCTTGCTCTCCTCCTCCTCTTCTCAGACTCTCTCTCTGCCCAGGTCTCGCGAACCTGCCTCGAAGACACACGCATGCACGCGCTCACGGCGATGATGAATGTTTCCGAATGTTAACAATGCGCCGCGAAATGGAGGTGAGCGCCGTGCGCAGCGAGATGGCCGACGTGCGACCGAAAGGAGGTCACCGCGATAGGTGGAAGAGGACTTTTAAGAGTTCAATTGGACGCACGCACTCGGCCGGCGATTTGGCTCGAAGACGCCGAGAGCGGGCGCAGATCGCAGAGCGTATCTATCGCGATTAGGCTTGCCAGATGGCCGGGATTTCCGGGAATGTCCTGGAATTTTTAAGCTTGTCCCGTGTTCCGGAATTTCAGTCTTTTGTCCCGGAAAATCCAGAATTTCCACCAAATCATAATCATAACATTCATGTTTCTAACTGGTACCGGAGAGAAACCTGAGAGCAGTCGTCGCGATGCGACAGGGCCGAAAAATTCGACGCGTCCCCTAAGAAAATTGATGTCAACCGAGCCATTCGCGTGCTAAAACAAAGAAGAGAAAAACAACTTCTCTTTGCTGGCGCTTAATTCACGCATTTGTTTCTTGCGAGTACGCAGTAGCATGTCTTGGCCGTCTCTTACCCCCCTGTCTCTCAAATTTAATCAAAATCCTCTAACAACCTATTTTTCGACCATCGCCGAAAGAATGTCCCGGAAATAATAATTTCGCATCTGGCACCATTAATCGCGATACCGCACGATCGAGCAGAGCGCAAAACCGAGCGACATTACTCACCGGCCGGCCGTTTCCGACGGGAAGTTTCGCAACGGACCGACTCGGGACCTGTTGCTTATTGTCGCGTATCTATCGCGCCGTACCTTGTAACACCCTCGTAACCGCGCGCGCGTAAAAGATCGTCATTTCCACGCTCCGCGGCTCGGCTCGGTGCGGCGCGGCGCGGCGCGGCGCGGCGAATGAAAGTCAAACGTCCCGCGGCTCGGACGCCAATGCGCCATTATCTAATGGCGTAATTAGTACACGCCCAGCGCGCCGGTGATTACACGGCGTGTCCTGGCACCTGCGAAACATCCGAGGCGATCGCGCACCGCGGGGCCGTCTTCGACGTGCTGAATCACACGACGCTACGCCGATCGACTGAACCAGCCATCTAGGCAATTCTTATCAGCGCTATTGTTATCATTGCCCCTCGGCAATCGTCAAAGTGGGGCCCGCAGATAAGAGGCGCGGTGCGCTTCGTGCGATGGGCTAAGGCTCAATCCGTGAAAAGAGAGACACGGCTCGGCTACGTTACTCTTAACATTTCTATCGGCCGTCGTAATAACTCCGCGCATCGCTCGGCGAACGGCGAATCTTGTATCGCGTGTTGAAAGGTTATCCTTGTTTTCCTATTTTTTATTCTCGCGCGTTTTCTTCCAACGCGCCGCGAGGATGATGTAGAATTGCAACTGCGTCTCTGAGACGCGACGACCAGCGTCCTTCGTACGCGGAAAATATAGTTTTTGCGAAAGCAAAGCTAAGAAAAAGTAATTGCAGAACAAGCGGAATTATCAATAAGTTTTTCAGGATTTTTTATTCTAATATATGGCCTCAAGAGGATTCCTCTAAGATTAAGATTAAGAGGAAAATGTTATAAACACATTATTTCATATTATTCTTAAAGTTACAGGAATTATATGTTATATGTATAGTGCGGATCTTATTGATTGTAATATAAATTTCCTCTTATATACACAGATTATTTAATCGTTTTCTAAGAGAATTATTATTTATTCTTACTGTACTTTATTCTTACTGGTTATAATAATTAATTAAGAAAAAAATTATCATAATGTATAGCGGGAAAAGATATATATTTATGGATGTACTTCGGGCTCCAGTTCTACAATAAGTAGGCACGAATGAAATAACATCATCATAACAAACAAATTTCCAATCAGTTTTGTTATGGACTTTATAGCTACAAAGATGTTCATCATAACCAATTGTATGAAACATACTTAAAAGAAAGAATATATTGTTCAACTTGTTGCGATAGATTATGAACTGTATTTGATCAAATATCGGTAAATTATCTTCGTTATATGTTACAGCAGCACACATATCTCTTTTAAAAGTATTCCAAATATTCTGACCCATGAAGATTTTATTCGTTCATGTCTGGAGGTAGAGCATGACTGAACGAAAGAAGCCGACGTTCAAATCGACATATTCCTCTTCATGTAAGAGGAAAATTAATTGATATAAGAGGAAATCCTCTGGAAATAAGAGGAAAATAGTTAGAACGTCTAATAAATTTTCGATGAATGCTTCACTTTAATCGCTTTGTCGAAAGAGGAATCCTTTTTCTGTAAAAGGCTTCGCTTGGAATATGGGACTATGGGAAAAATCACTTTACAAATAGAATACTTGTTTTTTGAGTGTGTAAAAGACGCGGAATGTAAGAAAAGGTGATGTATGGAATGTAAAAGAGACGCACAAGTCGATCTTTCGATACGTACGAGACATGACCGGATATCGATCCGCATTTCGAGATTCCCGAAGAAACGATATATCGTCTTCGCTGTCGCACAAGTCTCAGCTGACGTGACGAAAATCCGGCGCGGCGGGAAACGCGTTCCGGTAACGCGGCCGAAAACATGGCGGCCTAAACACTCAACTGTTAACACCCGATGTTAAGGCTCAGTTAAGATAACTGAGAGCACACAATTGGCCGATTGCGAGTGGAGGCCGCCTGTTCTTACGACCGACTTTTCATCTGTGATCCACCACGGAAAACTCGGCTACACCGACGAACTTCTTCCCGGATAATCTTCAAGGGAAAACAAGACAATCCCATTGGAGCGATCGAATTTTCCATTCAGTGCCATTCAGGGCCGAATAGAGAGCTCGGTTGTAAGAACGGAAAGATTCCTGCAGCCGGATCTTTAGTCGGTCAGTTTCAATTACTTTTCGTCATTTCCGGTGGGAACCTCAACCGCAGCTTTTAACGCAGCTGAATGTTCGCGGTCGCGCGGACGAAGATGTTTCTTCTCACTATCGAATTTTCCTCCGCTTCTGATTCGGTCGCACGAACTGACGATCTTTCTTTTTCTCAATCAACCGGCGTGTCGCCGAGTATAGATTGACCCGAGGCATTCCTTATCGCGATTGACAGGCGGAATGATTAAAGCAATCGGCGGCAATGAAACATGAGAACGCGCGTCAGTGTATAATTTATGCGCGAGGCGATATCGCGACGGTGTTCTGTGCAAATTCACGAGGCGCGTCCGGTCTGCGCGCAGTCGCGGACTAGAACGAGGAAAGTTTACCGGCGTAGAAGAGGCAGTCTCTTTTTCGTCACTCCAAAGGCCTCTTTCGAGCGGTAAACCGGCACGACGAGCGTTCTATACATAGACGGAAGAACGGAGGGCGCGAGAAGTTTCGGCATGTTATTTGCATTATTTTGCATACTGCTGGCGATGTCCGCGGCATAAAGTGACGTCATCGCCGCGTATAAACGGCGAATAAAAGAAGAAGCAGGCCGATGATTCGCGCTCCCGGATCGTGCGACGAGCGTTCAACTCTCGCACTCACGCGCGCGCGCACGCACGATCGATCGGCCGATCGATCGATCGATCGATCGACCGACCGACCGACCGGTCGATCGCAAGCAATCACGTTAATCGACAGGCTACACGCGCGGTATTAAACGGCGCGTTTCTTGCGCGTAAATAACTCCTCCCGTGGGATCGGCCTCTCTTTCTCCCCCCTCCCCCCCCACGCCTCCTCCTCTCTCTTTTTCCCGCCTGTCTATCAGTGAGATAGCTTAAATAATGGCCAGCATTGACTGGAAGGAACCTAATAAAAGCACCGATAAGCGGCTATCTCGGTTTCTCGCGCTTGCGTAACCGGCGAGCAGTCCCTCGCTCATGATTCGCGGCGATTAATCGACGAGACGCGTGGATGCAATTTTCCGCTTTCTACTCGGCTTGGAATCCTGCTTGAATTCGAAGGCCTGAATCGAAGGTGAGCTCGGCTGCGGCCGTGTTTAATCCCGCGTCACGGGAGACACACGATCGTCTCGCTTTCAAGTGTCCGACTCTCTTCAGAATCGCTATTCAGCGACGCAATTTTACTCGCGGGGCAAAGGGCGACTGAGGAGAGAGAAAAAGAGAGAGAGAGAGAGAGAGAGGCGCGCAATGCGGGCGCGAACCGCTTCCTCCAACTTAAGGGGACTGGAGGGTCAGATTACGGAAAAATCGTGCTTGTTTTTGATAATGATTTTGTGACGAACTGAATAAATGTGCAAGAATGAAAATTTTACATATATTTATATAACATATGAAGAGTAGAAAAATTTTGTTTTCAAACAAATACTCATATAAATATACGTCTTAAATTAAATTACTTAAATTTTAAACGCGTTTTTCTCGAAATTTTGTTCTTCAACTTTTTGCAGTGATTCCTCCGAAACTGAGCTTCGTATCGATTTGAAATTTTTAAGCAACAATATTTGTTCATGTAACTCTCAGGTGAACCATGGACAATTCCGTCAAAATATTTCATTTCGAGATATTAATTTTTTTATTGTAAAAGAACTGAAAGATTTGAATTTTTTCCTAATAATAGCTACTATTTTGTTAATTTTGTTCGATTTTTTTTCCTGCGGTTCATCGGATAATGATAAGCCTCCTCAAAATTTCTAGCTAAAATTCGCTCTGATCGGACCACTGAGAGCCGAGATATTACTGCAAAACAATAACTTAAAAAAAAAAGGAGAGTATATTTCAGCTGTATATATCGTATATTTATACGAGTATTTATTAATAAACAAAATTTGTCTACTCTTCATATTCTACTCTTCTGTCTACTCTTCAAATTTGTCTACTCTTCATTGTATAACTATACCTAAAATTTTCATTCTTGCACATTCCCGACTAGAAATTTATCCCATGGTCCTGATCAGGTTAACCTCATTTGGACATCAGGTCTCGATAAAGTAATACTATCGGATCCTAGTAAGTCATGTAACGCAGCGTGGATATCAGGACCTTAGTAAGGATTCATAGTCAGGTCCTTATTGAATTACCTTATGGAATCCTTATTACGTTTCTTTTCAAATTATGGTTCCTGATCACTCGCCACAGCTATTTTATTGGGTGATGACATTAGAAATAAGAAATGACACACTGAAAATTCTTTCATGTCATTTCCAAATAAAAAGATATTTGCATGAAATAATATTTTAGGTCGCTTGAGCGTACTTGTAAAATGTTTCGGAAAAGAAACATAAAATGTATATCACAAGGTATCATAAAGTATCACAAGGTGACATAAAGTAGTGTTAAAGTAGTGTTAAACAGAAAAGTTGCATGTCACGTTAATTTTACAACTATTTATTGATTGCTGAAGAAAGGATAGTTTCTACAGCATTTTACAAATATATTCAAGCGATCTGAAGTGTTTTTTCAATGCAAACATCTTTATATTTGGAAATGACACGCAAAAATTGTTTTGCTAAAACTTGATAATGCAAATCGTATTAGGTACAATGAATAAGACCTCGACAAGGACCTGATTACCTGAACCATATTACATCATACACTAAGTTGGTACATTAAGTTCCTAATGTGAACCCAATCATTATAATCTTATAAAGTTCTTCCTTACTCATTTGCCGTTAGGACATTATAAGGACTGACTTACTTAGGATTACCTCTTATTCACCCTATTAGGTTCCTTATCAGTGTTAGGTGAACCTGATCAAAATTTCTAGTCGGGTTTATTCAGTTTGCCGCAAAATATTATCACAAATTATTATCAAAATATTATCAAAAACCAGCACGATTTTTCAGCAATCTGACTCACCAGTCCCCTTAATCCCCCCAAGCACACGCGATCTCCCGTGGGCGCACGACGCGCGTAAGACGCGCTCGGTTCGTTTCGCGCGCGGCCGCGTGGGTGGCGGCAGGTCATGGCCAGTAGGTCCGAGATCGCGGAGGACGATCCGCTATTCTTCGTACGGGATCCGCAGCCACGCTCCTGCGCGCGGGCGGCGATTCGCGGAGGACGACTTCCTGCACACGGGGAGCGCTCCGCGAGCCGCCGAGATTTCGCGGAGCGCACAAAATTCCGTCGCTTGTGTCGAAAGCACGCTTGTCTCACTCGAGCCGGCTTCCGGTGGGAAAGAAGCGACTTGCGTGTCGCACCCGATGGAGGACGAGAGAAAAAGCGCGGAGACACTTTCCGCGGGAATCGCGACGGCGCGGGCGCGGTTTCGTTGGCGCTTCGCGAAACGCGCTGAAAGACGCAGGAGTCGGCCGTAAAACGCCGGTCGGAGAGTAACGTTGCGTTTATATGTTACTTCCCCGCCGTCAGTAGCGCGCCGTGGCAATTAAATTTAATTTCGCGACTCACGATGACGTATCGGGGTGAATTATATCCGCCTCCTCTCCCCCCGCGCGCGCGCGCGCCCGATGTGGCGTTTTAATCGGAGAGACTTACGACTCGTTTGCTCAGACGTGGCCTCAGCAGCACCGCGCCCTCGATGGCATCTGCAACACACACGAAACGCACAAATGAGCTGCCACAACGGGCGTGCACTTTAGTAGAGCGCAATATAGTAGCGAGCTGATCGGCCCTGATCGAGATCGATCGGATCAATAAGCTCGCCGTCGCCGGACCGGCGATATCTAATCGGCGATAACTCTCGTCCGGTGCGAGCGAGCGAGCGACAAATTCGCTCGCTGACGTCTGCGCGAGAGGTTTACGCGGTGAAAAGAGAAACCTCGATCTTGTGTGTCCTGGGGAGTTCGTTTTACGTAGATTATAAACGAATATAATTCGCTCAAAACGGTGATTAATTGACAGTCATGTTTTCTACTCGCATATTCTGTCCTTAACGACCTGAAAGTATCATGGAAGATAATAAAAAAATACGCGAGAAAATAGTTAAATATAGCCAGATGATTTGAATTATTTGTAAGAAACGTCGATGCGACATATCTTTGATCATATGATGTGAACGTCGAAAAAGATCAAGGGGGGAATTACATGCGGAGCAGGCTGTTTTCGAGGTTATCTTTACGAATTTTTTTTTCAGAAACGGTAGGATCGATGGATTTGAAATTTTGTATTCATCAATGTTCAAAGTAGAAAATAAATTTGTTACTATCTATATGGAAAGTATACGTAAAACTTTAAACGCATTTATCTGGAAATACCATTTTCTTAAATTGCCGACACGATTACGCAAAAACTACTGAACCGAATAACTTGAAGTTTTTACACAATATACTGTAGACATGTAATTTTCGCCCCTGCCTCTAACACAGTTATATTTTATTTTATTCATCTTTTTAAACATGATTACAAGTTAAAAAAAGTTTCATTTTCGATGCTTTCTTTCTGTAAAGTCATTATTTTTCCAAACTTGGCTTCACTGCCTTCATTTTGATACGGACTATATAATGGCAACTGTATATTTAAAAATCTTTCTCATTTTTCGTTTCAGAGTAGTGAAAGATCCGGACATTATGTCGACAGCAAACATAGAGCTCACAAACGAAAGACTGCATTTTTATCTGTAATTACAAATTGAATCGGTTCTTGTGATTCAATGAAATTTATTTTATACTTTGAACATTAATGAATACACTGTAAAAATTTCAAGTCTGTTGATCCTACCGTTTCTGTTAAAAAATTCATAAAAATAGCCTTGAAGACGACCTGCTCTGCATGTAATTCCCCCCTTAATATATTTCAACACGATCCTTCACATTCCCTGACACATTCGCGCATGCGCACGCACACTCGCTTCCATGAAACATTAATTTAATAATAGTTAGCATCGGAACAACAAAGGTAAATGGAAAAAAAGAATATGTCAGTGTCAATGAAGCTTTGTCGGTTCACCAACAAGTAACACACGACGAGTGTTACTTGTCGTGTTGCCCGACTGGAAAAGAGTGGACTTTCTGAAATGCAAAATCGCGCCGTTTTACTTTTCACCGTCGATTCCTGTGCATATGCATGTGTGACCGTCTCTCTTTCTCTCTTACTCGCTCGAACGGCACATATAATTTGTCATATTACGCGAGCGGCTCGCGAGCCGCGGAAAGAGCTGTTTACGACGTGCCGCGTTTCGCGAAGAGCGACGCGCGTTCACCTCCTCCTCGTCCTCCTCCTCCACGCGATAATCCCGACTCTCGGACCGTTCTCTCGCGACGATTTGTTCGGCCGGCCGTTAAATCATTCGCCGGGATTTCCCTCGTCGAGACGGTCACACTTTCGTTCTCGTTCTCCTATTGCGCAAGAATTCGTCCCGCGGATTTTTCCCTCGTCGTCCCCCTCCGCCTCCCCCTCTCCATCTACCGCACTGACTCACTTTCCACGCAGACATGAGATTTCTAGTCCTTGACTTTCCGCAGCTGGGTCGTCATATATTTATTTGCGACACGACGGCGATTGTCGTTACGACACGTGCGCCTATTTCTCCAGATTTCGTCTTTTTTCTTTTCACGAGAACCCTCATCTCTCGCTTTCTCTCTCTCTCTCTCTCTCTCTCCTTCTATTCGCGCTTTCACAATCGCGCCGTTGCAAAATGCCTTCCGTTCGCGCGCGTACCCTCGCAACTCGTATTCTCGTTATATTCGACACGCCGGCTCTCGGGTTCAAGGGTCAACGGCGATTACGACGCTCGCGTCGTGGCGTTACGTATTTTAATGGCGTTTATCGTTATCAGCGCCAAGTGCAATTTCTTCGTTTTGATCGAACCGGTAGAACATTTTATGCTGTACACGCCGCCGATAATAACGCATAATGATCCGTGTAGAGGCGGTAAATGTTGATGAACGACTGAGCTGCGCGATCAACAACTGAGAGAACGAACGGGATGTTTTGCACAAGTGGAGGAGCCTCGAAATACATGGAACGACTGGAGCATGCGGGGTCGAAACGATAGTTGGCGCATAAAATAAACGAAATCTTGTTTCCCGGAATTTTTATTCGATATCTAATTATATATTGCGAAGCGCGGGGTATACAGTTATATAATATATTTTAAAGAAGCGCTGTGGCGCACACACACACACACACAAAAGGTATTAAGTAAGACTCTCATGATATTCCACCACATTTTTAAACGGGAGGAAAGTCTGTCAGCAAAAGATCGTCGCTAGATTTTAGCTGCAATCGTTTCTTTTTCATCCGCAACAGCTCATCGTCCGATTTTTTCTTTTTTTTCTTAATATGGCAACTGTATCGAATGTTGTTTCTCCGTTTATCTCACTCGATAACGACGACGATCAAATAAAATTCTCACGTTGAAGAAAAAGACGTTGAAGAAAAGTCGTGCGACACGTCTTTTATTTAATTTTGCGACTGACTATCCATCGCCCCTTCCTGAGAATCTTTCCTGCGGACAAAAGAAAAAACTGTCCCCAGTAAGGGACGCTTTGTATGCGCAAGACACAATGGCGATCACGCACCTCGCGTGAATTCAGCAGGAAATTCGTAACGAGCGAGCACGCCAGGTTTGGTCACGGCTCGCTTTTTGCCGGCTCCGTTCTTAACGGTACCGGCCGCGGCGCGTCCTCGTGGTCCAGTTCACCACGTGTTTCCAGGAGAGCCCGGCGATACGAGGCGTCATGCGTCGGGAGGTCGTACACCTCCGCGCAACAGGGAGTGTGCGGAGAAGGTACCTGCGAAACTCCTCTCGCTCGTATACTTCCGGCGAACTCGAACGCTTACCGAATTCCCGGGGTCTACTGACCCCGGTCAATCCTATTTATCCTAATTTATTCCGCGACCTGTTTCGCACGCAAGCAACCGAGAGAGAGTCCCCGCCCCGCGATCGCGACCTGTCGATTTGCTTCCTTCGAGACGCTCCTCGGTTTAATTAAAATAATTGACTCCAGCCTTTCGTTCTTTCAGCCGAGGCTCCTGCTGTCATCCACTGCTGACTGCGCATCTGTAGAGAATCTTATTCCTTCGTTTAATACACGCTACTTCTCTTCATGCCTTTTTTCTTTTTTTTTTTCTAATTCTACGATTCATTTCTCGCCGATCGATAATCCCAAACGTCGGGGAAACGCACGGGGTGTGCACGCGAGCGAAACGAAACGGGGGGTTTTTCTGTAAGATCGCGCACATACGCATGCACAAGCACGCACTCACACGCAGCGGCGCAATTAATCACGCGCTCATGAATAGACTATTATTAGCAGACTAATATCATACTGTCGCTGCTAACGAACTCTCCTCTTCGCCGTAACAACGCGGCGCATCGTGTCCGCGGAATAATATGCGTCATGCAACAACGGCACACTCCGGTCGATTGAAACGTTTTGCAAGGTTCGTTACTCCGCTGAAATAATCGGCACTTTTATCTGCCCGGCCGACGGAGAACGAGACTCGCGCGCTCGATCGATCAATCGCGGCGATCAGAAACGCCGAGCATCGATCTGTCATTAGCCGCGCTCGCGCGCACGTGCGTATAAATAGCAAGCCGGTCGTCTCTCGCGACACACGCGAGACGCTTCTTCCTCCTTTTCCCTCGTAGCCGAGAAATTTATCTCGGGTGAATCCGCACCGATTCACTCTGTCATCATCCTCGTGATCAAAGTGCGCGGGTAATCAATGATACACCGCGATCATGTAACCGCGTCGTCGATCGCCGCTCCACCCGGACTGGACTTTGATACTTAATGCATGTACTTAACGGCACGTAATTCCGTCTCGGGCAGCGCGCGCGCGAGACCTCGCCGGGAAGATTCAAGGTAACGACCAAATCCCCGCTTATCCTACCTGAGATTGCTCGGCGAGTCGCGCGCGCGCGCGCGCGCGGACACTTGCGAGTGTATGTACTCTCCAAAGTGTACAATCCGTGTGCAATTCTTCGTTGATTATCGGCGAGGCACTCCTTTCACCGGTTCAATCTACCGGCATTTCTACCGATCCGCTTGAAGAGAGCGGGCACCTACAGGTGTCTTTTCGCGATGTATTTACACGCCTGTTACTTCCTCGAGGCGAGACACCTCGCTCGTGTGGATACAACGAGTCGAGAGACAATCAGGAGTAGGAGAAACCAAGCGGGTCACGCGGAGGTCTGCTTAATAAATCCAGCGCGCTCGGCACGAAGGACCGCCGTTGAGCAGTCTTTCCCAAGAGACAGCGCCTTGCTCAACACTCCGCTCCACGTTGGGACGTGGACTGTGTCGAGCAAGGTACTTGCCCGATATATTTTGCCGATTGCTTCAATCGGTTATTCGGAGAATCGTTTTTTCGAGAACAGTTGTCCAGTTTCAGGTGTGCGATCGAGCCTTCGATCCTTGCAAATACCTTGCAACTCATCGAGTCTGTCGGAAATCCTGATGAGAGATCCATCAAGCGCGCCAGACGCATTTAACCCGACGTTCGGCAAAGTCCGCTAATAAAGTCGCGTCAGGATGAATTTGCAGCTTTGTCGGCCGACGAGTCGGCGGCCGTGATTTGTTGACCGTCGCCTTTAGACGCTCGCCCGTGTCGGCGATAAAAAAAAGAGAAAAAGCTTACT